GAGCCGCGGCGGGGGCGGCAGGAGGGGGATGTGCGGGGTTCCGCTCGGCGAGGCGGGGACCGGGCTGCCGGCGCCACTGCTGCTGCGAGGGCTCTCGTGCGCGCGTGGGGCGCCGCCGCTGCTGCAGTCGCCGCTGTCGATGGGGCTGGGGCGCCGCCAGACTGGGAGGTCTTGCTGCTGCTTCTCCTGCTGCCGCGTGCTGGGGCTGAGCGCAGCATCTGCAAACCCTGGCCGCGGCGACGGCTGCCGCTGGTGCACGTGCGCAAAAACCGTGCCGCCGGGCTCGTGCAGGCGGGCGCCGTCCACGCCGCTGCCCATGCTGCCGCTGCTGGAGCGCTCCCCGTCGCCGGCGCGCGCCGCGACTACTACAGGGCTGGGCGGGCCCTCGATCAGCACGTCGTCCCCCAAACCGCAGCTGCCCGTCCTCCGCCGCTCCACCGCCGCCGCGTGGCTGTGCCGCCGCAGCCGGTCCTGCACGGCCGCCTCGTCCTTGCGCATGCAGAACGAGAGGCCGAATATGATGACGCCGCAGGGCAGCCAGCCGGCGACGGCCAGGTTGAAGGCGTTGCGGCGGCCGCCCAGAGTTTCGATGAAGGCCGCGACGATGATCGGCCCCAAGCCGCGGCCGAGGTCGTCGGTCACGCTCTGCAGCGCCAGCGCCACGCCGCGCGTCTCGGGCTCTATGTAGAGGGAGGTTGCGGCATGGTGATGCTGGTTGGTCTCAGGGCGGTGAAACTCGTGTAGAATTGAGCAGACGCCCGATACAGCACCAGCCGTAGGACGCTCAAGGCCGCTTGCGCCAGCTCGACGACGAAAAACACGCAAGCCTCAACGCGCACAGTCAACACGAGCCCGTGCCCCTGGGCCCACCGTTGACGTTGAGCATCGCGGCGCGCAGGTTTGGCGCCGCCACGCTGACCACCGCGCCAGCCAGCGCCGCCATCGCCAGCGTGGCCGGCACGCCCGCCGCCTGCAGGTCGACGTTGATGAGGTAGTAGACAGGGGCCACGCCCAGCATGATGCAGGCGCCCGCCATGACGGGCATGGCCTCCTTGCGCCAGTTGTAGAGCAGCTGCCCGGCGGCGCCGCCGGCGATGATGCCGACGCCGCCACCGAGGCCGAAGAGCAGCAGCACCAGGGTGGCCACCTGCACGGTGAAGCCCTTCTCCTGCGGGGGCGAAAGGGGCACAGCAGGTGCAGAATATTTGATGTTGAAGCGGGGCACAGGGGAGGGACGAGGCGTAACGAGGGGGAGGGGGGCGGGGCTCAAGGGCAAGGTCAACGGGTGAAGATTCAAGAGTTGCCGCGCCAGGGTAGCGCCAGCGGCGCGCCCTGTGCTCCCGCGCGAGGTCACAAGGCGGCCATTACTGGAGCAACGCCAGGCTCTCCCCCGCAGGAATGGAATCCTCAATCAACTTTGTCGTGACCCCTGGTCTTCAAAACGCACCTGCGACAGGTAGTCGTTGAAGTACGTCTGCATCATGCCCCAGGGCAGGCAGCCGGGGATGGCCTGCGTGATGAGCACCCAGTTGCTGGGGGACCGCAGCGCCTGCTTGGCCTTGGCCCAGGAGATGGTCTCCTCGTAGGCGTGGCCCTCTGCATACTGGTGACGCAGGGCCTCCTCAAACGCACCCCTGAGGGCAGGGCAGGCGCGGCAGGCGGGACAAGGGTGATGGCGCGGAGCGTGCGGCGAAAGTGGTGGGGTGCTTGGACAGGGGGCAGTCATGACGAGGCTGCGGGAGGAGTGGCGCTGAAGCGAGACGAAAGCAGGGCGCACGCTTGGCCAGCCGATGCGCCGCAAGAGCGGCACCGCTAGCTGAGCAGCCGCGCGCCGCTGGCTCAGAGGGCGCCAGCGCGCCCGCGGCGGGGCGGGCCGGCCCGCGTGCGCTGCGCCTCACCGCGGCGGCTCGCGCGTGGTGGCCACCATGATGAGGGCCAGTAGCAAGGCCGGCGCCGCGACCAGCACGAAGGGTATGCGCCAATTTGTGGCGGGGCCAACGATGCCCGCGATGAACTGCGGGTTGCCAGGGGTCCCAGGCGAGCGGGCGAGCCGCGTACTCTTGAGGAGGAGCACGTGTAAGCAAACACCGGCAACAGCGGCTATGAGGGCTGCGCCCTATCTTACAATGGGTCGAATATTGCACGCCGACTAGCAAACAAATTATCGGCGGCCCACACATGCGTCAAGCCGCCCCGCGCTCGCATCGGACAGCCAGGCGCCATCGCGGCGCGCGCGCCCGCACCTGCCCCGCGCCAATGCCGAGGCCCGTGGCTATCTGCAGCAGCGACGCCATCGCCGCGCGCTGCGTGGCCGGGAAGAGGTCCCCCAGCAGGCTGAACACCAGGGGGAAGACACCGCCCACCGCAACGCCCGTGAGCATCCTCAGCACCAGGAACTGCCAAAAGGTGGTCACCTGTGGGGGGCCGGTTGCAGAAGGTCAGGGGCAACAGGATGGGATAGGATGAGGTGCACAGAGGAGGGTGCCAGCCGTTCACAGCCAGTATGGCGCAACCTCAGGAGGCCTCGTCGCAGGATGAGGCGCCGCGGCAGCGCGCCTCTAGAGTTGCTGCCAAAGGCTGGCCTGCGTGCAACGCGCATCCGCCGTCCGGACTTGCCGGCATGCACAAGGTGCAGGCTGAGGGGGGGATGCTTACAAAGTAGGTGCAAAGGCAGGGACCCTGGCCGATGATGATGATGGCAAACAGCAGGTGGACCCGGTTGACCTTGTCGGTGAGCCACCCACACTGCGAATTGCATTGGAGCAATGGCGAGTCGGAGCGAGCAAGGGCCCGCAAATGCGTGCGGCAGGCTGCACTTGCGTTGAGTGCATGTCAAAAGAACATGTGTGCCGAGTGCGCAGGCGTCAGATCGAGGCCCAACCCCATGTGCAGGCTGCGAAGCGCCCCACGCACGATGATGGCTGACGGTGCGCCAATCATGAAGAAAGCCGCCATCACGTAGCCACCCCTGGCGTTGGGAGCGTTCGGAATGAGGGTCGGCCGCGCAGCAAAGCTAGCACAGGCAGCGCCAGGCTGCGGCGGCAGCCTGGGCAGAGCGACAGCTGCGGCAACCACACAGCAGCAAAACCCCTCGCCGAAGAGCCGCCCCCGCCAGGCCGCACCAGGCCTGTCCACCGCTTAAGTTGCTGCTGTCACCAACCCCCCCTGCCACCTCAGCACCACGCCGCACTCACAGGTAAGTGTCCTTCTGGTGGCTGTCGAGGCCAAAATCATTCGCCGCTGCTGTGAGCTGCGGGATGCATGCCAGGCCAGCCATTCGTTGCGATGGGGGGTCAGGTTGATGAAAGCGGGGTTGGGCCGTGACGCGTGGACGTGGCTGGCCACCTGCACGGTTACGGCCGCGCCCAAACAGCTGCCGCGTAAAGGCCGCACGGCCGCAAGGCACCCACAGCTGAACGTCTGCTGGCGGGGGCCCGTGCGGCGCTCACGTTTGGCGCCAGGAGGTTTTGGTCCGCCGAAAGCAGCGCCATCATTGACGCAAACATAAGGATCATAAACCGTCTCCGCCATATGCCGAAAGGGTGCACAAACCCACTGGCCGCCGCCAGCGCCGGCGGCGGGTGCGGCGACGCTACGCACGAGGAGGCGGAGGCACCGCAGGCGGGGTGAGGGCACGGAGGGAGGCCGTCAGGCGATTGCTGCTGCGCAGCACACGAGGCGTGGCTCCAATGGCTCGGTACATCTCAATCCCAGGAGCCCGCCTGAAATGATGAAGGCCTGCAGCATGGACAACTCACACTCAACGCCCATCGCGGCAACTGGTTTGGGCGTCGTGGGCCCGGGCAGCAGGGTGGCAGTGGAGCCAAACGGGTCGTCGTCAGCAGCGGCGCTCGGCGCGGATGCCGCTACTTGGCGATGCATGCCAGCTCGCGAAGCTGGCGGGCTGCGCCCGTTAACGACTTCATGTGTCCTTTGCTGCGGCTAGCGATATCGAGGCAAGGGCGCACTGGCCGAAGCGATTACGAACGTGCAAACAAATCGATGGTCAGTAGTTCGCGTGCGGCCGGTACATGTTGCCTTCTGATGATATGAATAGGTTGCAACCTTCTCGCGTACGACTGCTGCGAATCATGTGGGGGGGCAGTTCAGTGCCCGATCAATGCAACGGCACAGTTCCCTCTCGACCTGTATCAAAAGCACATTGGGAGCCCGCAATGTATGTTGCTGTCGATGCAGCGCTTTATATTTCGTCATAAGGGGCCTCAGGCCTGGCCTCTGACTGCACATTCAACACCGGAGCACCATCTAGATAGACCCGCGACTTGTGCAGCGGCGTCCCTCGCTGTGAAATGGCCTCTTACGCAGACAACTTCTCTGACATTGGGATCGCGTGCCGGGCACCAACATGGTGCGCCAGTACAGCGGCACCAGGCGCCAAGCGCGTGAGATGTGATATTGAGCGCACATGCACCGCGACTGTGGAGCTCGAGCTCAGCCTAGGTGAGCAAAGGATGGCTCACAGCCCATACGCAAGTACGCAGCCCAGCACGCAGGCGCACAAAGCAGGCGCGTGCGCGTGGCAACGCACGGTCGCCCCGGATAGTTTCCAGATGACTCCATGGCAGGGGGTGAGAGTGCAGATGCACGCGTTCACGCAGTGAGGCCCTCGCCGCCGTTGAGGCCCTCGCCGCCCCCAAGACCAACGTCCTTTCCTTGTTGCTGCGCACACAGAGGAGCTCTTCACTGGCTGCACCAAGCGCCTCGCCCTCGCGGCCCCAGGCGCCAGCGACGCGTGCCATGCCCGCCGCGCAGTCGCCGTACCCATCACCCCCGGCCTCCGAGCGGGCACCACCATCACGCTCCAACCCGCGGCCGCCGCCGCGGCGGGCGGCGTGACCGTCGTGCTACGGGAGGCGCGTCACGAGACGTTCAGGCGTGTAGGCGACGACCTGCTCGCCATCGTCGTGGTCCCGCTGGTTGACGCGCTGACCGGCGGTCGGCTGTGCCTGCGGCGGCTCGACGGGCGGCCCCTCCACTTTGCGCTCCCACAGGATGCCGTCGCGCAGCCAGGTTGGTGGCGCCTGCGGCACCGCGCTTTCGCGCCCCCCCCTCCCCCCGCCCCGCCGTGCCAGTGCTTCGGGTACCCCTGGCTGCCGCCTAGGGTTGTCAGCCCTGCGGCGGGTCCCACGCGAGTGTTGGGCTAGGCGCTTCTAGCCGCCACACAGGACACGTCACAAAGCACGCGCCCTCACCTCCATCCTCAGCGCCCGTCTGCATCCCGCATTCCGTCGCAGCCGTCACGACGTTCGTTGGAGGCGTGACGCCTCCAACGAACGCATCACGCTTGCTCCATCGTCCCTGCCGCGTCCCCTCCTCTCAGGCCAAGTCTTGAGCTTTGAGGGAGAGGGGATGCCTCGCGCCGCCGACCCCTCACGCCGCGGCAACCTCCACGTCCGCCTGCAGATCGAGTTCCCTGCCTCCCTGCAGACCCTCACCGCCGCACAGCGCGCGTCTCTGCGCCAGGCGCTCAGCTGACCCCGGCCTGGTTCCTGCCGAGGAACGGGGCGCCTGAGTCGGCGATCCCCCGCCCTGTGTTTGTGCCGTACAGGCAGGCGTAGCAGGCGTCAGCGAGCGGCTGAGTGACTGTGCGGCTGTACTTCCGGATCCTATGCATCAGGCGCATCGGCGGCCGTTGCCGTTGCGCGGCGCAGGCTGCAGCTTGAGGCAAGCACGGCGCAAGGTCGTGCCATGCGTGCATCAGCACAGGAGGGTGTTGCGATTGACCTAATGGGGGTTTGACATTGTACTGTGGCCTCTCTTGCGAGCCTCTGCGTAGGCGGCGCATGGGTATTGTGCACAAACGTTAGCACAGAAGGACCCGGGCTTGACTGCGGCGCTCGCAGCTGTCTATCGGCCTGTTTGACTGGATTGGGACCTGACATTCTCCAACGTTTGCGTAGCGCACCCGTGAGTCCGCGACACCAGGGGCCGCTGCCTGCGCACGCGTGCTGCAAAGCAGGCACCAGCGCCGGCACGCTCTCAATTTTGCCATGGTTGTCTGGCAGCGTGTAGACCGTTCCGGCGGCCCATGAGTCAACCGCTTGGCATGCGCTGTTTAGGCGCTATTGACCGCCCTATCAGGGTTTCGCCCTTGCACGTTCCACTCGCCGTCGGTGTTCTCGCATGCTTTATCATGTGGCTTGGGTGCCGTGCTATCTTGTGTGTTGGTATGTTTGATATCAGTAAGGGTGTGCGCGCATACATATGCGCATTTGTTTTTTGTGCTTTTCGTGTGTGTGCATGCGTGATGGCGTGTGTGTGGGAAGATTCTGCCAGAGTCAACAGCTTGGGGCCACCTCAGCTCCTGCGTGGTCGTAGCCGTGTACCATCTCTGCACTATGTACAATGATTTTTGCGCCCTGACTGCCACGTGCGCAAAGCACGACCCCTCCAGTTGTGGGTACTCAGGCTTTCTTACAGGCATACAGTGCACATCCCTCCTCGTGGCTGCCTCTCCCAAGTGCGGGGTGCTGTGCATGTTGCCCATGTGTCTCTGTGTGACTGGAGGTGTGTGCGTGCAGTGTTTAACGCGCAATAATTGATACTGCCGTAGGGTGTCCTTTGCGTGCAGCCGTGTGTTTTGATGACATAGACGTGGCCTTGTTATGGCTGGGCACGTGCCGCTTTGATAAGGCTGGTTCACAGCAGTGTGCTCATCAAGCACGGCCCGTTGCGGTAATGGTCCCGCTGCACAGTGTGTTGCAGGTACAGTGTGACTTCTGCTGTTGATGGTTTTGGGATGTGCGTGCCAGTTCAGTGCAACCACACTGTACTGCCTTGCCACTTTCGCTGGCCCAAACACGCCACGCTTCCTAGAGCCCGCGTGTGTAAAGGACACCGCAAATTTGTCAGGCTGACGAGGGCGGCAGCGTCGACGATGCGCGCATGCTCGAAGATAAGACGCAAGCTTGAGGCCCCAAACTTGCTACGACTACAGCGCTGTACTGTATTTGCCCATGTATGATGAGAAATTGAGGGGTTTGGAGCGCCCTTGTCGTTGTGACGCCCTATCCTTTAATCCGCAGTCATTGCAAGTAAGCTCTGCCTGCTGGGGTGCACTGCTCCTGCTGGTGGCCCATCCTCCAAGCCGCCTGCTGACATCGCCTTGGCCACTGGCCGTATCCCGTGTTGGTGCGCAGCTGCACGCCGCCGGCTGCTTCGTTGGGGCAGGCCTCTTCACTGCCGGCTACCGACTGCACGGCTCAGGGTCCGGGACAGCTAGGCCTTGGCTTGGTGAGGACTGCCATGATTGGCAATGCAGCCCACCGCTGGCGCAGGTGCTGGCACAAGCATGCACGCACCTGCACCGTCGGCTTCCACTGCTGCGCAGGGCATTGGCTCACTGTCGATGTCTGAATTTTGGCTCGGGAGCCACCTCAACTTTCCCTCGACAACGGCATTGCCGAGTTTGGCCACAGGTGCTGCCGCTGCCCTGCCTTGGCCTCGGCCTACAGGTGTGGATCCTTGCAAGGCGTCCATCTGTACCGAGCTTCAACACATTAGACTGCCAAGCCACGCGCGCGTGCATGCTCATGCCCCCAGTGACTTCACACGCGTTCACGAGACTGCCAGACGGTTTGTCGGCTCGGGCGACCCGCACAGTGGGCAGCATGCACACTCACCTGGGCGGGTTGACAGACGCACATGCTAAACGTCTTGGTTGAACCGCCTGGGCGGCTGTATGCATCACATCGCTGTCCCTTCTCCCGCCCGCAAGCCTGGCTGCATGCCCGCAACACATGCCTGCTTGACTCGCATTGACCCACAAGGTTGCGCAGCACGATGGTTATGTATGATCGCGAGACATCTTTAGAAATTTTGGTGGTCTGTGGGGCACCGGCCAGCTTTGGGCCTTGTCCTAATCAAGTCTGACAATGAGTGTGACCACTGCGGAATGATCTGACCGTCTGCTACCGACTTTTACCGTATATCAAGTTGGCGGCTCAAACAATTTATCTCTGCCCCATATCTATCAACACTGCGTCAGCTGTCCCGCGGGACTTTGGGGCGCCTTGTGGGACGCGCACCGACCAGAAGTCGTGGCTATGCCCAGCATTTCCATCAAAGCGTGGCGTGCTGCACCTCTGGTGCTTTACGTACTCGTAGCCGGATGCAGTGGCGCAGCGACACCGGACGCGCCAGTCCGCCCCCACTGGGTCACCAGCGCGTGCAGCTGGTCCCGGGACCCTTTGCTGTCACGGCCCTCCTGCGACGTTTCTTCAGGTAAAGATTACCATGAGCACCTGATTGCCCTGTGCAGGCAGGGGTGAGCAACCGCGCATTTCAGAGGCGCGCATCAGACAATGCAGCGGTCAGCAGCGCAACCCCTTCCCTGTGAGGGCAGAGTAGCAGTCTCCTACTCCTATTGCCTTCTCCCAGTACCCCCTTGCCCCTGCTGCACTCTCTGCCTCTTATGACATACAACAGCGTTCTTTGTGAGCTCTGACGCCGGCTTCTTGCCGCAAGACCCTCTTGAAACGGCGGGGCTGCCGGGGTTCCTGCTGCGCGCCGCCGCGGCCGACGCGGCATGCGGCCGGCTGACGACCCCTGAAGCATGCACAGCCGCGGTGGCACAGCGCTGCTCCTGGGACGCCGAGGCGGTGGGTGTTGATTGCGGCGAGCCGTGGCATGACGGATGCGCGACGCGCATGCACCAAGGCAGCAGGCAGTGCCGTGGGCGGACTGACAAGCTGTGGCGCAACGTTTGATGTTGCTCGCAGTCAACGCCAACTGACCCCATGGACGCCTGCCACAGGGGCTGATCCGCCACGCGTGCTGTACGCCCCTGCAGGCCCCCAGCTGCGTCCTCGACCCCGCTGCAGCCGCCGAGGCCATGTCACGGGCGTCCCTCTGCCCGCGGTCCCTGATGGAGCGAGTGCTCCCCTGCGCAGTGGTGAGCGCAGTGTCGCGCCCATTGTGGCGCATGCCCCGCACAAAGTGCACGGAGGGTTGATGAGCTCCATCGATTGTGACTAGAGATGAGCTAGCTGCATCTTGACTCCCACACTGTATGCCCCTTCAAGCCCCTGAACCAGACGCGCCGCCCTTGCACCTCGTGCCACTGACGGCCGTGCTCCAGGCCGTCAGTGAAGCGGAGTGCGCCCGCGCCGGCGACGGCTGCCTGTGGACGCAAGACACACAGGAGCCTCTGGGAGCGATCCCGCCGCGGCGGCGCTCGCGGCGGCACCGCCGGCGGCTCCAGCGGGAGAGGGCTTTAGTGGGCGGCCGGGCAGAGCAGGCAGCTGGGGACGCCGGTGGCGAGGGTGTCTGCAACCATGCGGACTGGATCACTATCCTGGAGCAACCGGACCAGGTGTGCTGCGCGGTCGCTGATGGGCGGGGGTCGGGCGTGCCGTTCATCCCACGCCAGTGCCTGCGCGACTGGCTTTCTGGCGCGTGCATGGCAGGGTTGCCGCCGGCGCCCGACCCCTGATCCCACACAAGGCCCAAACATTTTGAGAGAGCCCCGATGCTGGTGCCCCTGTCTGCAGGGCGCCGGGTACAAGGACAAGGTGGACGAGCGCCACCCCGACGTCTGGGGCACTTGCGGAGAGGTCAAGGTCAGCCTGACCCTCCCGTTTCAGCCGCCATTGTGGGGAGGCTTGCGCACATTTGCAACATGAAATGAGACTGGTAGCGGCAAAGCTGATTTGTTACAGAAAACATGCAGCATACGAAGCGCGACGGATGCAATCAACATGTGCATTTCGAGTCAACAACCCCCGGCCCTCTCACGAATCTGCTGCCTCCTGCAGGCCCTGTTCCGGCAGTTGGACGCCGCCAACTCGTGCCTTTGGGCGGCCGACACCGCTACATGCGCCAGCCTCGCGCCCAACTGCAGATGGGTTGCCCGCGGCAGCAGCGCCGGCACGGCGTCGGGCCATTGCACGGCTGCGCGTGCGGCCGCGCTGGACGCGGCCGGGATGTTGCCGAGCGATGACTACACCGCCACGGCGGCCGCCTGTACCGCCGCCAGGGCCCGCCACGAATGCCTGGAAGCAGGCCAGCCGGTCAAGCTCGACCCGTCCCTGATTGCCAGCCTGACGGCGGATGGCTTGCTGCCCCAGCGGCCGGTGGCCGCGGCAGACGCGGTCCAAACAAACTTGAGCGTGGGGCCCGACGGCCGCAGCAGGAACAGCACTAACAGTGGCAACGGCGTCATCGGCGAGACTGACGCGCTCACAGGCACCCGCAACTCTGCCCAAGGCAGCCTCTCGGGCGCGTGGGGGGTTCTATCTGCAGCAGCTGCTGGATGCGGCCTCCTGCTATTTGCGTTGTGAGTAAATCGCGGTGCGAGATGTGACCCATCTGCACAGTTGGTTGCAAGGCAGCTGGCAGCCTGTGCCCGCCCTTTGTTGGCCACGTTGAATCAGGTGTTGTGCGCCTTCTTTGGGACGGGGCGTCGCACGCTTTTTATTAGGGTTCTGGCATGTGGCGCAGCGCGGCTATCAGCTACCTTGAGTGATTGCCAGGGGCATCCCCATGCCCTTGGGTTCCTTGACAAACAACGAACGTTGCATCACGTCAGTCCAGGATTCAGGATTTCGTGACCGCCAAACTCCTGCCGCATTGGGCGCGATTTGTTGACTTTTGCTTCCCTTCATCCTGGTTTATCACCTGCATTCCTCAATGGCAGCTCCTCACTTGTCCCCTGACTGGCTCAGCTCACGCGCAAGCTGACCCACCTTCCTTATTCCTTCTCTGCTGTAATATCCGCCCTTGGGTCTTTACAACGTCGGTCAGAAACCAGAGTCCTCGCTGTCGCCGCCCAGCAGGCCCCCATCATCCCCGTCCCCTTCATCCCCGCCGCCATAAGGAAACTCCCCAGCCCCGTTGCCGCCGCCCTGCAGGCCCCCGCCGGGGCCCAAGCTGCCGGCGGCAGCGCCTGAGTCCGAGCCAGACCCAGCTAACGAGACGTCGCGGCCGTCTGTCGCTGTGTCTTCGTCGATGCTCGCCTCGTCGTCGTCGTCGCCCCAACCGCCGCCGCCCGCAAGCGTGCCCACCACCGCGGGGGCCGCAGCAACTGGGGCGCCCAGGCCCATCCCGCGCGCCGCGCCGAACTCGCCAGCGCCGCGCTGGTCGGGACGGCGGCCGCCGCCGTCGCCGTCGCTGCTGCTGCCAGAATCTGAGGGCGTCGAGGCCGCGGCGCCGGCCCGGCCCTCGTCAACCTGCTGCTCCCCGCGCAGAATGCGCAGCTCCTCATCCCTGCAGCCACAATGGGCAGTATACAATACACTTCTCAGAATGACTAGTGAATGGCAACGGGTGGGGTAATGGGAGGCGCAGGCACTGGTGCATCAGCAGTACCTGCCACTCACACATGCTTGGTCAACCCTGCAGGTCAAAAGGCGGCGGCCTCAACAAGAAAAACAACGTGCCAGGGGCCCGCGGCCCGCGCCGCTGACACCCACGCGAGCCGCTTCTGCATCTTCCTCAGCCGCCTGTCCTGCGCGTCCATGGCGTCCGCCTCCGCGCGGTGGTAGCCCTCCAGGCGCGCCTCAAGGTACTGCAGGTTGCGGTGGCGCTCCAGGTAGTGCGTGTACAGGACCTGGGGGGCGCGGCGGGGGAGCGCGAGGCAGGGAAGGAATGAAGGAAGGGTGGGGTGGAGGGGGGCCTGGGCATGCAGGAGAGGAGGGTCTGGGACCTGTGAGACTGAGCACCGCTGGGAGGAGGGAGTCAACTCGTGTAATGCAATTAGCGGAAGGGGAAAGTGACCAGCGAGACGGCCAACAGGCAGTGCCTAGGGATTTATCTCGAGCACGCCAGCAAAGCCGTGCTTGCAACCCCTGGGACGCTGGGCCTGTGCCGCCAAACGGAACCTCTCCCGTGAACCGCTTCCACCCCACCTGCAGCTGCCCCTCCAGTGCCTCGTACTCATCCATGTAGGCCGGCCGCACAGCAGCCAGCGTCGCCAGCCGCTTCTCCGCGCGCTCGAGCTCCGCGCGCCGCCGCTCCAGCTTTGCGTCGAGCGCAGCCTCGGCGGCCGCCAGCTCTGAGATCTGCTTTGCATGGTCAAGGGTCCAGATTGCATCGATCAGCCAAACAGGGTGTGCAACAAAGTCTCCTTCTCTCCAAAGCAATAATGATGGTATGCTAGCTGAAACGCGCCCGGCCAAGGTCGGAGGCTCTAGAAATGGCTGCTGCAGAAAAGGCTGCAACATTGGGGGCGGCATCAAGCCACCGAGCTCGCCTGGGCCCGTGCGCTGCCGAGCGCCTCGTCAACGCCGGCCGCCGCCTCAGCGATGCAGCGCTCAACGTGTTCGGAGTCCTGCGCCCCTGCCAGCGCGCGCGCGCGCGCCACACGCAGCGCGGGCTCGGCCGCGAGCGCTGCGTGCAGCGCGGCGCCCGCGCGCGCCATGTCGGCGGCGAGGGCCTTGGCGGCGCGAGGGTCGAAGGCGCGCAGGGCGGCAGACATGTCGCCTGCGTCGGCGGCGTCCTGCAGAAACACACACAGGCGTTGGTCGGGGTGGCGAGCGGCGCTGAGTTTGCTGCCGGCAAACTGGCTTGACATGTGACTATTTGAGCTGTGCCTTATTTGCAGGTGTGCTGTTTGTTGCAAATAACATGCAGCATGCTCAGCCGCGACGTCCCCCTGGACTGACAGCAGTACGCTCAGACGCTCCAGCGGGCGCAAGCTCCGCCCCTACAGCCATGCCGGTCCGCACCTCGCCCTCCTGCTCCGCCGACTGCGTGGCCTTGCACAGCAGGCTGGCCAGCTTCAACAGCTCCCGCACCGCCTGGCCGTCTGCCGCGTACAGCCGCTTGATGTTGAGCTTCATGCGCGCCTTGGTCAGCATGATCTGGCGCCACACAGGGGTTGCGCATGGGGTCGCATGAAATCGCAGCCGCACGCGTGGATGAGACGGCAGCTGCACTGCCTCACGCGGCCAAGCACAGCCCCCAGCGCTCGGTGCATCTTCTCCCTGCATGCGTCCAAACAGAGCGACGTGCGGCGCAGCATGGCGCGGGCACTTCCAGGGCCGGCCGCAGCGGCGCTCGCCTGCGCGACGCCCTGCAGGAAGGCGACGCGCTCTGCCTCTGTCGCAATGTCACCGGGGATGGTGCTCTCTGGGTAGAACCTGCGCGGACGTCGGGCGCCAACGAGCAGTGGCGCATCATCTCTGCACTTGCAGGACCCCTGCATTTAAATTGGCCTTCTGTGCCACTGCTGCGCTGCCCTCTGCGCACAGTAAATGCATGCCTTGCCTGTCGTTGGCCATGCTCGGCATGAGTAAAAGTCATCGTGAGCAGGCCCGGCGCGGGGCGCCGCTGGCAAGCTCGGCGGCGCACCGGTGCACCAGCCAGTGGATGCAGTCGGCCACCAGCTCGAAATTCGGGGTGCGGAAATTGTCCAGGGAGATCAGCCGGGGGTAGCCCAGCGTCTTCATCGCCTCCACAAATGCTGCGGCGGTCGCAGGGGCGCGGCGGTGAGTGTTTGGCAGAGTGCGGCGTTCGAAGGCCGGCTGTGCGCCACGGCACTGCAGCGCTGACAGAGCTGCACAAGCAGGCGCGGCGCCAAAACACACAGGTTCCACTCACATCTAACCTCACGGAAGCTCATGGCGCCGCCACGCCTGCACTCAGTCAAGATCACAGGTGGTGTCTTCGCTGCGTCAGCCGCACCGTCAGCAACAGATTGCTTTGCGACTGATGCAAAGGTCAAGTTGTATGCTTTTTGTAAACAAGGGATTCGTATATGGTAGCGCGCTCGCAATATCTCTTGACGCAGCTTCGTTGTGGCACGCCATTGTTGCGACCAACCATCCCGGCGAGAACGGCGCATCAATTGCGCGCTGAGTGCGCATTTCCTCCATATTGTTGCTTCCTCACTCAGACTGAGGCGTGCCCGCTGGTGGCTCACGAACTGTCTTCGCGCCACACCGCCAAAACGCTCTCGGCGCATCCTATAAAGGCACATACGATCGCAGATTACAGAATCCCCGGCGCTTCGCCACCGCAGCAGCCCCCAGCCGGCGCAGCAAGGGCCCTGACCTCAGACGCGCTCGCGCGCTGCTCGCTGTCCCCACAATCCAGTGGCGTCAGTCGCAGCGCGATGACCAATGATAGCGGTGCCCCCGTGCGCCCCGTGGATTGGAATAGCATGTGGACAGCCAAAGCGCGGTCGTTGCGGCCGGCAAGGCTGGCTCGTGAGTGTCGTTTGGGCTGTCCAGCAGGCCAAGCCTTGGTGGCTGGCTGCCTGCTAGCGGGCGTTCGCACAGTCGCCGTGCGCCAGGCCAGCCTGCCCCTCACAACACAACGTGGGCCTTGTCATAGGCCACTCTGTAATGGCCCTATGCCGTCAGCCGTGCCTCGGCTCTGCCCGCGCCAGCCTCGACAAACTGCCCGGGCCTCGCCAGGTCGGCACACTGCTGACGGTGCGCCCTGTCACCACTCGCCGCCGCCGCCGCCGCCACCGCCGCTCCGCAGGCATCGTCAACTCCTTCATGGGCGTCCCGGGCATCGTGGGCATGCACGGCGGCCTGCGTGAGTTGCATGCCGGGTTGGTGCTGACCCCGCGCCGCCAGCTGATCGCCCTCGCGGCAGGCCCAGCGGGCTGTGCATGCCCTTGCTTGTGGCGACGCCCTTCTCCGGCGTCCCCAGGTTTGAGCCCGTAAGACCCAGCAACGCAGCCGCGCGGGCTGTCTCTCTCCCGCACGCATTCAACTGGGGCGCTCACTCGCCTCCCCCCTCCCGCTCTCAACCTCGGCTTATGTTTGGTTGCGCAGCGCCGGCTGACGCGTTCCCTATCAGCTCGATAAGCTTTGGCCTGGGCCCCATGGCGGGTGGGGGCGTGCTGGACATCTCTGGCCCCAAGGACACGGTGGCGGCGCAGCAGTACTGCTTTGCGGTGAGGGTCGTGCGCCTGGCACCTGGCGTGCTGAAGGCGGCGTGGAAGGCAGCAAGCGGCTGTCTTGAGGCTGCTGCGCTTCCTTGCCCAGAAGGCCTTGGCTGGGGGCCGCTGTCACCGATGTGGGAACTTGTGGCGCTCGCGCCACCAAGCAGGGCAACAGACATGAAGAGGCTGGGCTTGAGAGATCCTGTTGTACCAGCCGATCGGGGTGTGTCAGCTGCGGCTCCGCCAAGTATCACGTGCCCATCGCCCACAGCAGCCGTCCCTGCCCACCCACCGCCCCCAGCCAAGCGGCTACGAGCCGCTCCGCGCGAGGCTGCACGCACTCACGCTGGCACAGCAGCGGCCCCAGGGCGCCGTCCAGGTTAACGTGACCTGCGGCTCCACCTATGGGCTGGACGTGGTGCTCGACCTGCTGCTGGAGCGGGGGGACCCGCTGCTGCTCGAGGAGTACACCTACTCTCACGCCCTCGAGGCGCAGCTGATGCCCAAGGGGTGGGCGCGGGGGCGTCCCTCATGCTTTGCTGGGCAGGGCGCTGCCGTGGTGGGGTGGGGCGCGGCGAGCAGGGGAGATTTGCCTGGCGCAGGTTGGTGCGCCTGGCGATCCAGCCGCCCCGGAGCCTATGTGCGGCGCGCACACTACGCCGTGCAGTCGCCCAGCCCCTTGTGCCCTCCGAATGTGGCCGATTCCCCCTCATGCCCCTGCTCCTCTGCCCCCACCCCGCAGCTTTGAGTTGCTGCCGGTGGCGATGGACGCGCAGGGCATGCTGCCGTCCGCCCTAGAATCCCTCCTCTCCCGCCGCCGCGCCGAGGGCCTGCGCATGCCGCGCGCGATGTACGTCATCCCGTCGGGCCAGAACCCGACGGGCGCGGCGATGGGGCCGGCGAGGAGGGCCGAAATCTACGAGGTTGCGCGGCGGTATGATCTGGTGATCGTCGAGGACGATGCGTACAGCTGGCTGCAGTACCCGGACGGCGAGGGCGCGGTGCCGGGGCTGGCGGGCCTGCAGCGTGAGCGCCTGGCGGCTGGGGCGGGTTCGCGAGGGCGGCACAGCGTGGAGGCGGGCGTGCCTGCTGCGTTTGAATGCCAGAGTCCTTGCAACAGTCGTGTGTTGACGTGCTAATCATTGATGCCTGTGTGTTCGTGAACCGGTGCTGTCTTTTGACTGTGATTCCACTGGCGTCTACACCGGACCCCAGCCACCTTGCGGCATTTGTCCACACCTCTCTCCCTCTCCATCTCGGCCGTCCCTTGCGAGCCCCTCCCTACCTCCCTCCCGGGCCCCCTTACCCCCTCCCTCCCTCTCAACAC